GATCCTTTAGGCTAAAAAACTTAGGACCCCCCTTTATCTTTGAATCAGGTGTTTGTATTTACTCAAAGACTTTGATAATCAAACTTCCGAAACTCCTTATTTTCTCTGTCTTTGTTTGTCTGACTAATTCATATAATTCAAGTTCGGCCAGGACCCACAGTTGTGGACCTCGAAGAGTGCCTAACACCTTCTCTTCGAGGTAATTTCGAGCCCTTACCTGATCTCTGGTGATGCAAACTAGTCAAACCCGAGTCATATGCAAATATGTGCCCTAACGCACCTTAAACCGTTAGATGGCGACCCTCCTTTTTTAATACCTCCTTAAAAGAGTTGTCACATGTCGAAACCCGATTTCGTGAGAAAAAATGGGGCGCGACATCGAGTATGGGTTCATGAGAGTTTAGTGATTGCGTGGTAGTTGTACCTAGTGCAACGTCGTTGGAGGATGTCGGTAAGGTATTCCACATGTGGGTTATCTCATGTGAGCAAGTTAGCGGTTGCGTGATGTTGATGAAGCTTCTGCGAAGAATACTACTTGCTACCCGTACGAGGTCGAATATGTGATTGTAAGTGATTATTCAGAATATTCATGAAAGGCTTACAAAGGACTTCGAGAAGAATTGGCGGGGTATGGGATCATGGTATATGAGAAGGGGAAATCATTGTGGGCTCTACAGTATGTGATGGTAGCTTAAAGCTAAGTGGGGGAGCCCCATCGTCTACGATTGGATCGCGTGGTTGTCTGCTTGTGCAGTTTCTGGTTATTGGTGTATTGGTGGATTATTTATGACTAAGGAAAAAGGAAATGTAGGAGTAAGTCGAATAAGGAACTTGATGAATGTGTGTTATATTTCGCCTTATCGATTGAGGTGCAGGATTCGAGAAGACTCCGAGTCTATGCTTCTTATGGATGTAATGTATAGGGAAAAGAATTCATCTGGTTGCTTCTTTGAGAGTGTGTTCATATGCTAGCAGAGCGTTGAAGTTTGGTGATATTCGGGATCAGGTCAGAGTGGGTGACTCTCAACAACGTCTAGTGGGTTCAAGAATTTAAGTGCAGTACCTAATGATTTCGGGTCCGTTGTGTAGTTAAGGATTGAGTCTTCATAGTGGATTACGAACGGGGCTTGGAACGTTCTATGTTATCATCGAGCATGCGGTGCAGTATTGGAGGAAAGGAAGAAATAACTTCGGATTCGCAAAATGTCTTACAAAATGGGTGTACCGGTTGGAGATGCAATTATACGCATAAAGAGGGTATGTGATGGTTCATGAGTATTGAGACGATGTGGTCTCGTGATGCGGGTCACTCGGGATGAGTGCGAATTGAGTTCGTTATGTTATAAATGGGCTATTATTATTTCTAAATTAGGTCAAGAGTAAATTGAAAGAACTTGGGTCGGTTAGTAATGGTCGAATCAGCATGTTTATAGCAATGATCAGTCCCTTTGGTGTGTGAAGTCATACATGTGGTTTGTAGTAGCACGTGCGGGCTTGACATCCACCATGACTTGATTGACTTGGGAGGTATTTGATTCAAATGACCTTGTTGTGTAAATGGATCCCGAAAGAGTCATGGCGGTTTAGATCACGACTTGAGGTTTGCATTTTTTGCTATTTGGGAATTCAGTTGCGTGTGGCATTGGTTCTTCTGAAATAAGATAAGTGAAAGGTTTCTAGCCAATGAAGTGGTTAATCTACTAGTAGTTCAAGGGTTTTGGTGAATGCGTATATTATCGCGTAGCGGCATGATAGGTGCAGTGAGCGGCATGGGAATTTGAAAGTGAAGGATTAAGGTTACGGATCGGTATTGATAAGAATCTCATGAGCTCGGACGAGCATGGAATAATTCAGATGTTTAGAGTAAGCTAGCATTATCTTAATGTCGCCTGAGAATGATGTTTTGTAGAAGAGGCATTGTGTATCGATTTGCGGATTGTGATTTGCCTTATAGAATTAGTGTGGTTGGTGGTATGGATGTGCAGACTTAGCTACCTAGTGCGGAAGGTCGTAGGAGCGTACCCCACGGGGAGATTTGTATAAGTATGGCATGTTAGTCACTTTATTGCTAAAGATTAAAACCAAGTATGTAGATTATGGTAATATTGCAAATGCGAGAGTTTATGCCTGGGAGGCATTCTATTCCTTGGGTTTTGGACCGTGTGAGTTTGTTTCGGAATTGACGGTTGTTCTTATGTGTCATAAATAGGGCCATTGTGGATCTTTGGAAGGTTATTGGCTCAGTATGGTATGATCGAAATCGGTTTGAGGCCGTTATTGGGTCTAATGTTAATGTGTGCGCTATGTCAAGTCGGACGTGTTCATTTGTCATAACATTACTTACGGGGGAGTAGTCGGTCAATGGATGTTATTCCCATCGTCAGCTATTTCATGTAAATCTCTATTGTACCATGTGGGTTGTGAGATGGTTTGGTTATTTGAACATGTGTTGAGGTCCCGTGTAGCGTGTGGTGTTATATGAGTAGGATGACCCTCGAGATGCTTATCATATGTCGCACCTTATTGGTGCTTGGGTTTTATAGCGTATGGCGCTATCGGCCTTCCCAGGATTTGTATTATGCACTTGGCGTGCTTATGGTCCATATTCAGGCATTTCGTGAGTATGAGCGTTACCGCTTGATATGTGTGTTTTCTTCGTGATTTGTTATGTGCGAATCGGGTGGCACGCCCGCCCCGGGCAAGTTATGTGGATCGGATTGCACGCCGCAACAGTGTAATGTCGGATCGGGCTGCACGCCGCAACAACAAGAAGTTGAGCATAACTCCTTACACTTACTTTGTGTGTCTTGTTTTTCATCCCTGATGTGGGTTCACAACATCCTTTTGGCTGTTTTATTTGTCACGCAGGCTGGCTATTCCTTCTCCAGAGTTCGTTCTTCCTTATGTATTACATTCGAGTTGTAGCTTGTTGGCACGTTGTGGGCGTCATATAAGATTTTTGGCAGTGTCTGAGATAGCTTATTGCCTGAGCAGTGTGTACTGGGTGAGACGAAATTATTGGATCTGAAATTAGTGCTGTCAGATTTATATAAGGTATATTTAAGAGCAAATATCGTTATTCAATTCAGAATGAGATAATGGTCCTTGTCAGGAGGAGAGACTCCATGAATTGTGGATTCGGCGGGTGGTTATTAATTTCTACACATATCTTTCATCGTGGAAGCATTGCGAGAATTGGAACAGGACTTACATGTGTCATGAGGTGTATTGTGGACATCGGATTCGTGGAAATTTCAGCTATTGTGGTCGGGGGATGTTATTATGGACAACCTACTTATGTGGTGCATGGGGTGATTTTAGCATAGATGCATGATCATGTTTTGGTACAGTGTGTGGTGATTGGTACGATGTTCGTATGTTAGAATCAGGTCTGGTAGAGAAATTCTGAGGGTGGAATTTGGTTCTAAGGTTTATTGGCTAAACAAAGGGGGAGGGGGTCTTTAGTCTGACTCGAGCTAATGTGTTCAACTGGATTGTGGTGGCACGGGTAGGTGCACGAGGTGTTAAATAATGATTTTGGACAACTCCGGAGCAGTCCCTAGCACGTTCGAGGACGAACGTATGTTTAAGTGGGGGAGAATGTAACGATCCGACCGGTTATTTTGAGATCTAGCATCCCATTCAACGGTTTGAGGCCTTGAGTAGCTTCACTTTAGGTATTATGACTCGTACGTGTGGTCGGAATTGAATTTCGAGAAGTTCGGAGTTGATTTGGGAAGAAAATTCTAAATTCGGATGCTTTAAGTTGGAAGAATTGACTAAGATTTGACTTTTGGGTAAACGACCTCGGAATCGATATTTGAAAGTTTCAATAAGTTTGAATGATGATTCAGGACTTGTGCGTATGTTCGGGTCGAGTATCGGGTGGCCCAGGAACAGTTCAGCGCTTATTATGGAAGGTTGGCATTTTAAAGATTTAAGAATTTTATAAGTTTGGTTTGAAGTGGATTTTTATGTTATCAATGTCCGCTTGCGATTTCGAGCCTTGGAATAGCTTCGTTATGTCATTTATGACTCGGGTGCAAAATTTGAAGACATTCCAGATTGATTTGATACGTTTCGGCACAAGATATAGACTTTGGAAATTTGAAAATTTATAAGTTTGATTCGAGACGCAGTCTACACGTTATTCTGGATCGGGCCGAACGACCTCGGCGGACGTGCGTTATATCGCTAGTAGTCCGAATGTTCACGAGATAAACCTTCCAATGATGCCCGGCATTTTATGGTATTCTCCACTTATTTGGTATTGACACTTGGCATTTTCTGAACTATTAAGGTAGAATACAAGATCGAGAAATGTATACTTTAAAGTAAATAATTGGGAAAAATTATGAAAGTACATACTCCACTATTGTTATGCACTTCACATCTGTTATGAATTATCATATTATTTATTTGGACTTCTAGTAAGTGTCGATGTCGGCATCTCGTCACTATTTCTCTGGAGTTAGGTTAGATACTTCTGGGTACGCGTTGATTTATGTACTCATGCTGCACTTCTGCACTAAATGTGCAGGGTCTGACAGGTTCATTTGGAGATCGTCTTGGCGCACAGGCGCATCTTTTGAGGAGACTTTATATGAGCTGCAACCCAGGCAACACATCGCAGTTCACCGAGTCTCCATCGTACTAACTATTTTATCCTGTCTTATTTACATTCTGGACAGATGTTGTATTGTTGTTGTACTTCTTAGAAAATGCGCATGCACTTGTGACACTGGATTTTGGGGATTCTTGTAGGTTGTTCATCATTGTGGTTCGTATAAATATATTCATTACTCTGTAAATTCTATTTTATGCTGTTCAATTAAGGAAAATTATCATTTCAAAATTCTAAAAGGAGTAAATAAATTAGTAAATCACCGTTGGCTTGCCTGACGGCGGCGTTAGACGCCATCACGACCTATAGTATATTTTGGGTCGTGACATTATTCCCGTTTTGATTCCCATGATATTCAACTGCATGTATATGCATATTTGATCTATTGCTATAAAAGGAAAATGACCTGAACTCCAAATTGTATTTACAAAAAGCCATGGTGGCAGAAAAAATTAAATAAAAATCGAATCGAGAATGTGAAACAAGAAATACAAAAAGTACAAAATTAATAGCCAACAACAATAACAACTACGTCTCAGTACCAAACAAGTCGGGGTCGGCTATATGAGCATGTCCTTCAAAAACTACATCTCAATAGCAAACAAGTTGGGGTCGGTTATATGAGCATATCCTCCAAAAAAATTCTATACATCTTCCCCAGTGAATATTTACCTTTGACAAATCTTATACCTGCTAGAGATTCTGCAGAAACATTGGAAACAATTATTCCAACAAAACAGATGTTAAAAAAGGTCATTCAAAACAAGGAAAAAGACTAGGAAGTTTGAAAGATTACCTGTTAGAGCACTGTTGCCAACTTTTCCACAGAAAAATTGTCCACTTTCACCATGTAGAACTGACTTTTTACTCCCCCAGGGTCTTCAATCTAGGGGAAGATATACTACTATATAGAACAACTTCAAATGTAACCATCCCAAGTGGTGCCCCAATTTGGCCTGGCCGGTCGGGAAGAGATTCACATAGAGACTACTGCTATGCATGAATCTCTTTCTATGTTAGCTAGCGGGGGCGGGCTTTCCTATGGTAGTCCCGCTACAGCCTCTGAATGGCCGTCCCATCTCATCTTGATTTGGCTATACTTGTATGTTCCACTTTGACAATTTTAAGAAAATGAACCTTGGGCCATACTTAACCTCAAAAGCTATCTTATAAGGTGATCATTGTCCAACACCATAGAAGGAGACAACATCCATTTCCTCAACCAATATGGGACAATCTAACAGAAACGTACATCATCTACCCGTTCACCATCAAGAACTGATTTCTCACTCCCCAGGATCTTCAATCTTCAGAAAGCTTTGCTATGATATGCGACTACTTGCAAGTTCCACTATCGTGCTGAAACAAGAGAAAAAGCTCAGGGAGCTTGCTTCAGTCCATTTAAAGCTTTGCGATGTCCGCACATATCCGCAATGTATGTTTGCAGGAGCATATGGTGATTCATGTATGACTATATTTATTCTTTTTGATAACTGAGAAATCTGCTCTCCATTTCTGAAACTTGGTGGATAATGGGCCTGCCCTTATATCCTTCTCAGCTTAAATAGCAGACTTGAATCCCTGTAAGGACTCAAACTCGTGATATACACCTACCACACATCTCCCGGTTGGTGCTACCTCTACCGTTGAACCAAAACCCAGGGGCTGATATATGACTACATCAATTCGCAATATACACTGAATGCTCAAAGTATCAAGTTTGCTTACGTGTCCTCTGTTTCTCCCTAGCTTCCTTCTCTGCTTTCTTTCTCTCAAATTCCAGCTGCTTGCGATTTTCCTCTTGTGCTTGATTGAACATTCTTTGAAAGCTCATAAACGTTGCGACAACTATGGGGAAAAAGATATAATAGAGGTAAGCTGAAGATCATCTCATATGTAAGAAGACTTGTTTTACTAACCACAACTTAGAGGATATAAATATGCCCAAACAGCCATATGAAATTCTTAGCAGAAGTAGATAATTGCTTGAGTTCAACATTTATTACCTTGTTCAAATGGATAGCGAGCTGGATCTTCTCCAAAGTAAACAATCAATGAATCGACATTTCTGCCCTGTCATATGCAGAAGCAAGGGCACCAATTGAGGAACATTTCAATATGGTCGAATTACTATAAGACCATGAAAACCTGTGTCGTAAAAGGTCAGACATACCACATCCGAAAAAAGCTGAGCTAAGGACCCGACTTCGCCTTCAGCAGAGCCCAGAAACTCCTTCAGAGCCTGGCAAGTGGAAGTTACTCCAATTAATTATAATACCAATGTTCTGTAATTTCTTTTTTCATTAGTTACCCAACCATAACAAGTGCAGCTAACCAGAAAGATGAAATAAACTGGTAGATTACCTTACAGAAATTCTCAGACACAGGTCCATCGCTTCCTGACATGGAGAGTTCGTGTTTAACTTTCTCCATTCCTTTGCTAACAGCTTGCATTTCCTCTGCCAAATATTTCAGTTGTATCTGAACAAAACATGTTTTAATTCAGTAAGTTCCATCCATATCTCTAATAATTAACAATATCAACAGTCAGTTCAAGTAAAGGTACCTTCACTGCAGGTTCCAAGCTGGAAAGATCTTTTGAAAAATCAAGTAGCTCAGGCGATTTGTCAGCAAGTATCTGGCAGAAAAATTTCATAAAGCTTTTTGTAAAAGATTATCACCAGCCCAAGAAAAAGTTAGCTCAAATGCATTTTGCGAAGATAAACCTTAAGTTTTTTTCCTTTTTGTCTTGTGATAGGTAGATAAGATCTTAAATAATCATACTGCACAGTGACCTTAGAGCAAACCTTAGTCGTCAAGATGGATTGTGCTTGCTCAAAACAAGTGTTAGAGGAAAAATGACATAAATATGATGAAAATTCTGAATGTATAACACACACCATGTATTTCAGGGGCCATTATATTGATGAATTTGGATGCAATATACTTTGAAATACAAGGTACGGGAAGTCTAACTAAAAAAGTCTCCCAATGAAAAGAGAAAAGTAACTACGTGAAGGCAGATCGATGGCTGTTTTCATTTTATGATTCAACCTATGTGTTATAAAAAAAACGGTATCTAACCACTTAAAATGGATATCTTAGTATCACCGAAAGCCATGACTATCGAAAGGTTAGAATTTGATAAATGCTCTCTGATAAATAGTAATGGTTCATTTCAGCATACTTCAGAAAACGCCAGGTAGAAAGTTCGTAGACTGCATTATTCTGCCCTTATGAAGCTATTTACAAAATGCAGATCTTTACCTTGCAAAGATAATGCATGAGAGTCATCTTAGTGTTCGACGAACGTGTCTCAGTTAGCTTAAGGAGGCTATCCAACTTGAAACCAGCAGCAGACCCTATACCAGTAGCATCAAGACAAGCATGATATTAAAAGAGGAATAATAATTGCTCCAAGAATACACCAAATGGTTAATAACAGCATAAACCATGTCCGTGAAGCCAAAGATGTTATGAAGAATTTTAAGACCAGAAATGCACATAGCAATGAGAATAGCTGAGACATCAATAATCGTTGGGCTTTTTTCAGTGGTGAATAGAATATAATACTACGAAAAAGAATGTTAACTAACCTCTTGCAGTTCCGTGGTTGAGAGCATTTCCCAAATACAGAATTGTCTGCAAAATCCCTTTCAATTTTGATGAAACTCTGATCTGATTAGGACATTAAAACGACACGGGGTAAACAGGGAATATCAAGAAAGCATTCGAGAGTAATAAAAGATTAATCAAGAAGGAAGAAATAAAACAGAAAAAAGGATATTTGCCTGATCAGCTGCTGAATTCACAATATTGAGATTATTCCTTAGGTCCGAAATCTGAAAATATTGAAAACGAAATATGCACCTTTAGCAAGACAAAACCTCACATTTCTAAAATCAGGCAGCAGACGCACTATCCTCTCACCTGGGATTGAAACTGAATCTTAAATGAGAAAACCCGTAGCTTGGACTCTACACGAGGGACTTGTATCAATTCTAACATAAACTGCTACAGAGAATAGTCATAGCAATTTTATGTCAAATATACAAGAAAGTCCCTGAGAGAGAAACTGATATAGTAAACCAAGATAAGGTTAGTTCATAATGGGCTGACCTGTTCACATCTACCCAACATCTCCTTATCTCTTTTATAACCCTGTAACAGAAACATTGGATTAATAAGTTTGTCTACAATATTCTAATATGCATTGAGTAATATTTTATTAAATTTATTTTGTGGATACATTTATTACCTTGAGCACCTCCATTTCTTCCTTTGTTGGGCAAAACTTAATCAGGTTCTCAACCTGATCAATATCTAATGCTGAATCTTCCAATGCTAGCACAGAACTCTGCCGAAAATATCAAAATGGAATCAGCCAATGTTGGAGACATCATTCAATTTTCAATAGATTACATAGTTACGAATACTTTCATGGACCAATACTATTTTTGCTACTGGTACACAGAGGCGGACCTATGGCTTAGGTTGAGGGGTCACCGGACCCCGTAAACTTCGGCAGAAATCTTGTATATGTATATGTATATACCTTGAAAATGATTAATTTAAATCTCTTGGCACCCTTAATGCTAAAAGCCATTAGGGGGCACTGATTAAATAGAATATTGTGCCCCCGTCGCATTAAATTCCTGGGTTCGCCTCTGCTGGTACAGGTAGACATTGGAAAAGAAATGCCATGCGTTAGATAGGTAAACATAATAAGTTATCAAACCAATACAGTTAACTTGTACCACGTTCAAGTCAATAGTATGTTATCATTTAAATATGAAGACTGTAATAAAAGCTCGTATGGAAAATCCACTGTGTGGCCATGAACTCTCCAATAAAGTCAACTATCTGATAAGTACTTCTAGTTGTAAAGGCTAGTTCAGCATATTGAAGAACAAAGCACAAAGGATGGGAAGTTATCTAGGTTAATAGTCTAGGAAGTATGAGAGAAAAAGATATCATTACTAATATGGAGCACCAAAATGGAAACTTCCAGCTATCAAAGCAATGAAAAAGCAGGCTGCAAGTTGCTTGAGGCCTTAAAATGGTAAAAGAATTATCGCGATAACATCACCAACCTTATTGCAGGCATGGAAAGGAAATAATGGTTACTCAAGCAAACATGGCATACGAACATGAACATATGATTCATCCAGCTTTATTCAGAGAATAAATACACCGACTAAGTTATGCCAAAATGTAAGTCCAATATATGCAAATGAATTTTTCTTACCAGCATGTCGTGCAGCGGTATCTTCACCTTGGAAAGCATGATTTCACAATTATAAGCCCGTCTATGATCAATCTGCCATAAAAGTATTTAGATAAATAATCTCTCTTAAAACTTGGAAGTAGAACAGCCAGTAGATTCCAGCAGTATTATGCAAGTATCAGGTAAGAGGTATTTATGAAATGTTACAACTTTAGATAACAGATTCAGATAACAGAAAAGTCACCAGCTGCACTTTCTGAGGCTTCTGCCCAATTTTGGACCTTGAATTCCCATTCCTTCCTGCACCTGCTTGGTCTAAACTTTGAACTGAGAAGAAATATTCAAGTTCTGACATATTAATCACCGATGACCTATAAAACAGAAACACATCAAAGTAAATGAGATATTGTATTCTGAAAAAGGAGTTGACCACATGACTGCATTAACAATATGTCCAGAACATACTTGGAGGCATAGCTACATTTTTCAATTTCGGCCCAAAAGCTTCCTTGGACTGTTTTACTTATTTTTAACCAATGCAAAGGCTTCAGCTTCTTTGAATTGCTTCTTGAAGTCGCAGACAACAGCCGTCGGTAATTTTTATTAGGTGGAGGAGCAACAGGAGGGGGTGGAGATGGAGAAGCAGGCAGATTATTCCCTGCACTACCACTTGATGCTGCCCGTGTGTGACCAGAACTTGCTTCTACATCCACCTTAGGAAAAAGAACCGGAGGAGGAGGAGGAACAGGAGCAGTCTGTGGAAGATTGTTATTATCCTTGAGTGATGAATCCAGGGAAGGAGGAGGTGGCGGCGGTGGCAATGGCACTGCATATGAATTTGTAGGACTAGAATCCCGTGCAGTAGGCAAAGGAGGTGTTGGAGGTGGAAAGGGTCCTCCAGTTAAAGAAGAATTCTCCTTCACAGGCTGCCCAGGAAGCGGTGGAGGTGGAGGAGGTAGCCTTCCACCTTTGGACACTAATTTTTCCTTCAAAGGGGGGGTAGGTGGATGTGGAGGTTGAGGTGGTCCACTTATTGAGGAGCAATTCTCATTCAACACAGGGGTTGTATGTAAAGGAGGAGGAGGAGAAGGCGGTGGCGGTGGCGGTGGTGATAGCTCTCCAATGGAAGTTGAATTTTTTTTCAAAGGTGGTGTAAGAGGTGCTGGAGTTTGAGGAGGTCCACTAACAGAAGCAGAATTCTCCTCCAATACAGAGGTTGAATGTGGTAGAGGTGGTGGCGACGGCAACGGCCCACACTCTCTACCCAACTTTTCTTCTAGAGGTTTGACATTGGGTATGGAGGCTGATGGAGAAGAAAAACTTGGGATAAGCGGTTGGGGATAAGGAGAAGGTTCCATTTTGGAAATTTTGTCATTCTGACATGGACTTGAAAGCATCTCAAGAGGAAGCCGAAATGTGTCAGGTTGAGATACTGTAGTTCTATCATCTTTCAAATATACAGTATTAGGACTTTGGTTTCTGGGCGTAGTAGGCTGTGATGGAGAAGGTACAGTTCCAATGACTAACTTATCCTTGGGAGGAGTGAGTAGTGTTGGTGGCATTGGAGCAGGAGATAGAGGCTTTCCAGTGACAATATCTTGATCCTTTGCCGGTAAAGGTGGAGGAGGCGAAGTGAGAACATCCGTCATGAGTGGTCGGTTCTTGTTTTCAGGTAGAGAAGAAACTTTTTTCAGCTTACCACATTCTTGTCCATGAAATGAAGGATGTTCCACTGTTGTGACATCATGAGGTGACACTGTGATGATGTAGCAAAAGCATTAGATTCTACACTAATACAAATAGAAGAAAGCATTGGAAAAGATTTTGATGGCTGCAACTTTGATATTTTCATCTCAGTTTTTTCTTTCAACAATTAGAAATTGAGCATTAGTTTCTATGCTAGAGTCAATAGGAGAAGATTCTGAAAAAGCGGTTGATGGTTGCAGGTCTGACATTTTCATCTCACCTTTGGTTTCAATAAGCTGAAGCTCAGCTTTTTGTTTGTTGCCATGGTATTCTTCGGACAACGGATCAGAGAATGACCCAACATGCTGCTCCAAATTAGACTGTCTCAAGCCCTTAGAAATATTTTCTAATGCTGCAGCTCTTTGCCTCTCTTGAGGCTTCTCTAAAGCAGCTTGATCAATGAGGAAGCTAGTGTCCGTATTCTCGGACAAAGATTCCAGTCTTTCCGGGATCAAATTTGACGCAGCTATTTGTTGGAGTGTATTGCCAACAGCATCACCCTTTTGATTCAGCGAATCTGCACTGTCCTCCACAGGATCTAGGGAAGCAACAGCATCCATCTCTGAAAAAAGAACCTTCATCCCGTGCATAGTCGTAAATTATAATATGCTTCTTGATAGAGCGAACATAAAATAACAGAAAAGTGCATCTAAGGAGAACTATGATACCTCTGCTCTGAAGTCTTTTGGAAATTGATCCTTAGCATCCCACAATGTGTCAATTTGATCTCGGTTAAGTATCAGAATGTTTGACTTAATAAAAGATGTGTTAAACATCGTCCGAAACATCATCTTTTCCCGGTCATCATTCAAGCTAATACATTCCAAGACTACATCACCTTGTATATGGCAATTGATATCAATCTTAACTAATTCACATTCTACCTGCAACAACATGATAAATGCCTTGTCTGATCCACAGAACTTGACAAAGATACCATCTTTCTAAGATAGCAAAAATCCTGAACTTGCAAAGAATATTTGAGATTTCTGAAGGAAAAAAAATCTTACCTGCTTGTAGTGATGGACAACATTATTTTTCTTTGGTGTTGAGAACAAAATTTTCGAAGATCGATCAGCAACTATTAATGGATCCTGTCCATAAATACGAAGTATGGGCCGGCAACCACCCTCGCCATCAAAGTTAGGTGTTTTCCTAATAATGACGCAATCCAAAGTGAGTGCTCTATCCAATGGAGGCCATTGCGCGTTCATGTTCCTCCTTGCTACATACTGTAAATATCTTAGCTGAGAAGGAATTGGATTCAGTGGTTGCAACAAGTACAAAAGCTCGCGAGGAGCCTGCTTATAAATCATGTCTAAGGTCTTCTGTTCCCCAGTGAAATGTCGTCTAGATATTAGTAATGCAGCCAACATAAATGCCAAAACTGGCCAACCACCCCATTCACAATGCATTAGGAGCACATTTTGTTGCCCAAGGGAGAGCCAACTTTCACTAGATCTAAGAAAATGGTTTATCATCTCCATAGTGAGCAAAGGACATCCTTCATAGTGTCGAGGGTAGTCCATTATTGTCACGTCATGCTCAGATAGATCATTTGCAATCAGGCTTTGTGACTCGCCCTCCCGAAAATTGAAAGCCAAAATTGACACATCAGGGTAATGATCCTGAAGTTGGCTAATTATACCTGCTACATAGCCTTTGTAGTTTTTTTCTTCCCAAACATCAGTAGTGAAACACCTATCAAATACTGCAAATAACAACAGATGATATTATTAGCTAAACTATTATGCTGCAGGCAAATGTTATAAAATCATCTACTATTTCATTTCATGAAAGAGAGACGACATGACTCTGCAGTCAACAGCTCCAGCCTTCCCACATAAGGCCAACTTCTAACAAAATAACAAACGTCTTGTGTGCCACTTACAACCTCTGTTGATGCAATTCTAATTGTGTTTAATCTCGTATTCAAGCATTTGCCTTAACATCCAAATTTCTAGTAAGAATGTTAGACCTTACATCTCACTCCATATAGCATTGCTGGTCTCAACCTTCCAATAGGTTTATTCGCGAACTGTTCCGGACTAGTAAGGTCTATTAGGAAAAGAGGAGTAAGCTATATAAAATTTTATAACCTACTAAATTCCAAAACCTTGTTTTTTTTCCCTAAAGAATGTTTTACCCACTTATACAAGTAAAAGGTCAATTTCGAAAGAGCTTTGGAAAATCCACCAATTTTCTTTCATATATTACATGTTCTTCCATGTGTCAGGTTCGAATTCTAGCAGAGGAGGCAGCAGATACCCGGTGGCATAGTCAAGGTGCACGCAAGCTTGCTCGAATAGCACCGCAATTAAAAAAAAAAAAAAATGTGAACTTGAACCAAATGAGTTCCCTCATATCCTACTATTTGAGCCCCAAAAAAAAAGGACCTAGAAGATGATCACTTCTACAATTTCCATTTCAACAATAGAATTAGACATTAGAGTTAAAACATGAACAAATAAATCAAATTTAGCAATTATTGATCTAGGTCGATCTTAATAAGCAAACAGTTAATTGAGTTGTCTACAGAGTTAATTGAGAAAACCAAAGGGAAACGAACCGTAAACTCTGTCGCAGATCTCCAGCAGTCCATCAGGTGGCTTCCGATAGAACAATTTCCGAAACAGTGCCATGTATTAATGGTTGTTGAAGCACTGAGCTTTTTAATTCTTTTCAATTAACAAAACTTTATGTTATATACTTTAATTTTAATGGTTTATATAATTTCTGTCAAGTTTTTCTGTGCATGTGAACAGAAAATTTGGTTAATTGACGAGGAGGAAAACGTTTTATTTTATTTTTCAGTATGTTTTTCTTTGTACACAAGAAAAGAGGAGGAGAAGTTTACAGTACAAGCTGAGGGTCACCACTTTGACAACGGGATGCACGAATTTTCACAGAGAAAGGGGTCAAATTTGTTTTTTTTTTGGGTTTAATCATTTGTAATGCAAAAATTATTGGTTCGACTAATTTAATTTTGCAAGTAGGCTCTTACTAAGAAATTTTTCATACTCAAATGGGAACTTGAAACCTCTATAGTCAATAGTTGATGAGTAAATTTGGATCTTGTCAATTTGGATTTGTATTGTACACAAGGCTCTATTAATAACGAAGGCAAATACAAAATGATTTACCAACGAGAATAGCATATATGGACAAAAAAATATACAAAATTGATCAATTTCGGATAACACATGCTTATATTTTGGATATCTTTTCATTTTAATATACAAAGGATTTAAGTTAGAGAGAACTGCAATATGCAAATAAGTACAACTCACCGACATAGACTCAGACACAACTTTGCAAATCTATAGTTCAAAAATAATAGGCACAGGTCCGGAGAACCAGTATTTTTTCCATTTGAATTGATTTTCCACATCTTTTAACGTGAATATATAAAGTGGACAAAACACGGTAAGGAAGTAACCTTAATTGAAATGTAAATGGTAATTGTTTCTTTAAGTTATATTATTGCAATAATGATTTCTTGCACTATATGCGAATTTATATGTGACAACATATGAGTTAATATTTAGAGTAAGTTATCAATTAATAATTATTATACAGATTTACTGATAAATAATTAATTGAATTGATTATGTAAACATTTTTAATCCATCAATCGTAAAGTTTAACTTTTTTTATAAAGTCTATAATCCAATATAGGATATAACTTAATTTCACTAACAATATAAAGTATGTTTACTCAATTAGTATATATTAACTCGTTGTAGGGGATCATTTGCCTAGTTTTTTTTAGATAGCTAATTCAAAATTATCCTAGACGAGTATGTTGTACTATCTTAAATGACTTAACAATGTAAAGAAAATTTCATTTCTACTATAAAAGTAAAACTCTTCCCCAAAGTGCTTAAGTGCATATATATATATATATATATATATATATATATATATATATATATATATATATATATATA